ATTAAGGATATATGAAATTTGTGTGTGTCTGTATGGCAGCGAGTGAATCATAACCGTGATGAACTGTTTGAAACTCTACAGCGACATCTTGTGGATTTCTTGAGAGCTCAATAAATGTCACACACAAAAATTACAGCTCTAATAAATTCTCAGAGTGGAAGATGGAATATAAGGTATGGACTTTAAATAGGGTTATTTAAAACTTTGAGCAGCTTTGAGAACATAAATTAAATCCCACCACAAAGCACATGGTGTGTGTTTTTGTGTGTGTTTTTGCCCCTCTATCTTTGTGAGGACAACTTTTTGGAAGTGAGAACATTTCCACTTCTCACTTCTGTAAAGGGACATTTAGGTGGGTTCATGTGTTTTCCAAGTCTGTCTCATATGTCTCATATGAAGACTAAAACAGGTATTTCTTGCTGTTACTCATACTGCCCATTAAGAAATATCTTCCGAAATCCACCGTTCGCGCATCTGGGGAATTTCATACTAAACAAACAGTAACTTGGGGGATATATGTTGATTTATCGAACTCGGATTGGCCTAATATTACTGTACTAAAAGGTCTGTGGATGTTTTCCATTGAAAGCCCATTGAAGGACTTTCTATAATAATGTAGTGGATAAATGATTTAGGGTTAAAGTTGGAGTTACAGCTGGACAATAACATTTATTTGTATGTTCCACTGGAACAAACATAGTAAAAAAAAAAAAAATGAACAAAAAAATTGTAAATGAGTGTAAATCAGATTAAATTAGAGAAAGACTACACATTTGAAAATGAAAAAGATCTGGTTGTTTGGAGTTCACTAGAACTCTGTAGGCCATTATTCATGTCTGGTTGAGGCTAGCAAATCCATTATATATTATATATAATATATTAGCTGCTACTAGCATACCACACCTAAATCTCTAATCGACCTGTCAGCAGTTGAGTTACACTGTGGGTCAGGTTTTTGCCAAGAAAGCATAATGCATGGAATAAAAAACATCTCTGGTTGTAATGCATCGATGTTGATGAAAAAACCAACTGTCCATTGTGAGTCCAGCATTGTTAAAAGACTGGGATGATAAATTGGTTGAGTACTCTTGTCACTGAGAGTCCTCAAAAGTGCAGAAGTACAAGCATGTGTGTGTGTGTTTGTTTACTTATGTGAGTTTTATTTGTGCACTTGAGTCTGTCTGCTGACCAGGCGCTGTCAGCACAAAGTGCTATGTCTAATTTACAAGATTGAGCACAGATGTGCAGATAAACTGAGTGAGTGCATGCATGTGTTTTCAGTAGAGCTTAAAAAATGACCATTAACCAGCTGTTCTCCTGTTTACCCAAAGAAACAGAACAGCCCTAATGATGTTACCACACATTCTTCCTCTATCTCCAATCAGGTACCTTCCAGAGGTGATGGGTGACGGCTTGGCCAATCAGATCAACAACCCAGAAGTGGAGCTTGACATCACAAAGCCAGACATGACCATCCGGCAGCAGATCATGCAACTCAAAATCATGAGCAACAGGCTGAAAAATGCACTGGATGGCAACGATGTGGACTTCCAGGATGCAAGTGGGTCCCTTTCTAATATTTGTACAGTGGTAATATTTTATACATGACACATGTTGTCCATTGTGGTATGTTTCCCCACACATATATCCCACTGCATGAAGTTACTTAATGGTCTGATTCCCTTTGTTAAACCAGAGTTAATGACAAGTGGGAACTGAGGGCCAAAGACTCCCAACTAATGACCAATAAACTTAATTAAAACACTGAATCCATTCATGGAGGTCAAATGTTCCCCCGTTCAGTAATTACCACTTGCAAGTTGAAAATTGGAAGCTAATCAGGAGCAATTGAAGGTGACATCTTTCAGGACAAAAAAGAAAAGAAAAACATACCTCCTTTCATCTTCTTTGATTAAGTAATAGACCAATTTTTCATTAAAAATGTGTTTCCCGTCTCTCTCCTATAACCTCTCCAGGTGATGACATCAGTGGGTCAGGAAGCGGGATGTGCATAGGTGGTCAGTGTTCTCGGAACAGACCGGGACTGTACGCTTACTCGCCAGACAACAACCGAGTCAGAGGTGCAGCCACGTCTCAAACCCGCCTCTGTAGCCTCCTACTCCTGCTCCCATTGGCCATCCTGCTGCTTCAGCGATGATGGACCACCGCTGACTCCCAACCATGAGACGGACAAAAAGGGGAGAAAGATCGGAACTTAACTTTGCCAAAAAATGAAAAAAGACCTTTTTTGGGGGAATGAATGGACATTTTCTGTGACCAAGAGGAGCAAAAAAATTGACAGAGACAATATTCTTTATTTGATTTTGCTCAGTTTTAATATGTCGTAGTTTGGGTGTGATTCGTTGATGTGGTGATTTGTTGAGCTGGTTTCAATGGATTCTTGCGAAGAGGATGGTTGGAAGAAGACGGAGATGAGGAGGATGAAGAAGACAAGGAAGAAAATGATGATGATGAGGATGATGTTGATAATGATGGGAATATTGATAATGATCTATTGAGACTCCATCAGGTCAATTTAGCTCCAGTTTCCAGTCAGCAGACGACAGAGCTCAGTGAAAAAATGTTTGGTGCCCCGATATGTGGTGCGTTCAACAAGGCTTTTTTAAATTTTATTTCTTACTCGAGTCAAGGTTGTCTACCTTAACAAACATTGTGTAAGTTGTAAATGTTTGTGTACATTAGCTAAAAGACTGGCACCATATTGAGCCATGAATGTACAGCATAGTACTATATTGCCAATGAATCCCCCCCCCCATAATCTGTGATGTAGTCGTCCAGACGTTTTGGTGTGTGTTGGCATAAACAGATTCATTCAGTAGGATTCAATTATCACACGCTGGAAATGTATGAAATGTTGTGATTGCAAGATTTGACCACACTTTTACTGTATACCCAAGCCTTTCACAAGAAAAAGGAAATTATCACTTCTTTTTTTAACAAATCATCACCTTTGTAAAGAAATTGCAGTCTCAAAGCACAGACAAGCAGATTCCTTAATTTTTCCTGCAATGTAGACAAAAAACTGCACGTTATTCTGACTCTCCTGGTTGCATTTGCCACAAAATTCTCCACAGAGAATGTTTCATAACGCAGTAAAGCTAAAGGGGACTCCTTGTTGAACGCACACCTGCGTTAGGTAACAGATTGAAATGAAGTTTTAGAAGCAACGCAGTGGCTGATATACAGTAGGTCAAACCAAAGCACTTATTACACTTTTTTTAAACATTTTTTGACAGCAGACATTGCCCCAAGTACGTTGAACATTAGCTGAAACCCTTTCACCAGGTTTTATAGATGCATAATGTTAAAAGAAAACAAAGGTTTTCACTTGCGTTCCTAAAAAGTTCAGTTTTTGTACATACAGTACAGGATATTTGCAAAATATTGACAACATGTATACATTTGCCTGGTGATATGTCATTTACTCGGCATGCCTTTCTTTCAGTCTACACTACTATACTGGTACATATGGGACTCCTGATTCACACGCAAGTCTCTTGCACATACACACTGACACACACTGGGGTTGTGTATTAAGCTGATCTTTTTTAACCATCAGTGTATTTAATCACACATTTCATTCATTAAAATCTGTTTGATTGTAGCAGTGGATTTTGCCATGTACATTTTGATTTGATTATTATTATTGAGTATCCATTAAAGAAAGCTGCATTTTTATTTAAAGGGGCACTCCACCGATTTCACGCATGAAGGTCAGTTTACTCATCGTAAGGAGTACTACTAAGCCTGAAAAAAAAGGAGAGTTTCTTCTGTGGTTTTCTAAAGTTTAGGAAATAAACCTGACATAGATCAGGTCATCAGCTTGGGCTTGGACTTGGAGGCTAAAAGTTGGAGAAACAGTAAAATGACTTGTGTTTTTACCAGGGAGAGATGGTCCAACAAAACGATGCCATTGAGTTGCATTAAGGCATCCGGTGTTTATGGAGCTTGACACATACTAGGAACTAAAAGTCAGACTATTGCTACCTCTGTCTCTTCAATTTTGATCATTTTGTCAGTTGGTTCACCACCATTTCTGGGGCTTTTGCCTTTATTTGACAGGACAGCTAAAGATAGACAAGCCAAGGGGAGACAGAGAGATAAATCCATAGTCACTGCAGCAAGGACTCAGCCTTGGTAAATGAGGTGCCCCCATATCGGATATTTGAGATCCATAACAGTATTGATTTTGGAGGGGAAAAATTGAGAGAGTACAGATATGGTGGCCAATATAGTGATTTTTTGTGAATTGATTGTGAATCTCAGCGCACTCTGCTGGATAAACTTTCCAGTGACACCAATATGTTACCACAAGCATTTTTTTCTGCATTATATACCAGAAAATAAACTATTCATACTGATACGATACTGATATGTCTGCAAAAGGCTGATAACGGTCAACCGATACATCGGTGGGGCCACCCTTGACCTTTCATCCAGTGCCATCAATCAGGGCAAAATTATTACTACTACTACAAAAATTAAATTATTTGCCACTAAAATGGTGAATATGGTAAACATTTGGCATCATATCAGTATGTTAGCATCGTCGTTGCGAGCATTTTAATATACTGATGTTAACACCAGCCTCACAGGGCTTCTAGCCTGACTGTAGATTCTTACTGTTGTTTAAAAGTCTCTTCTTGTGAGTGTCCCAACTTTATGGAAGAGCAATGCTAAATCAGTGGAGTACCCCTTTAAGGCCTCTCTGTTGCTCTCTCTGTGAAGTCATCTGATGCAACTTTTCATTCCTGTATCCATCCATTAGCCACAGAGATATGACCAAGCACCCATTGCTCTTGTCTTCACACTGTCTGTGCCTGATACTCTGTGGCCACAAGATTTAGCCCTGACTCACTCTGTGGCTTGGTTTCCAGATATCAAATCTGAGATGATTTTACTCTTTTTTCCAGAAAAACTCAACTTGCCAGCTGCACTACAGCTATAAATAAACATAAAGCTCTCTGTAACAGGCACTGACAAGCCTCATGCGGCCCTGCTGGAGAATAACGGGGCCACGTGTTGTATGTGGGGATGACAATCCTGCACCAGTCGGGGGGGTTTGGAATTAATGAATGATTTATTTTCCTGATACGCACAACAGAATGAAACAGAGCAGCAGGCAAATGCACAGACACAATGACTTCACTACATGTTTCTATTTTTAAATGATGGAAGGAAAAAAAAGTCTTAAATGTTTCAGTGTACAGGGCTCACATTTCATTTCTCAATGTCAGTATCTTGACTGTGACAGAGCAGACCCGATCTGAACGTCTGTCTGAATTTACCCTTTTTCTACATCACGTGCGTCTTTCCTGAAATGTGTCTTGTCCTGTAATTGTGAATGATGTGGAAGTACAGGTAGAATCTGAGCTGAATTTCACGTGTTGTGGGAGGACCTGTGTAGCAGCCACAGTCTACCACGCTGTTGGTTTTACTTGGCTGCATCCAGACAATGAGGAAGATTTATCGACACCCAGCAGCCTGGCTGAGCGGTCTGTCCATGATCAAAGTTTACTCACCATTTTGACTCCCCTGGGTGAGAGTTACCTCTAAACAAAAGGCTCCACAACTCTTACTGCACATATTTAAGAGATGTAACTTAACTCTGGATGCAGTTGAAACATAATTGTTCTTGTCCATGTGGCTGCCAGCAGGTCAATATTCGATTTTTGGGTCTCCACCTGTGGTTTAAAAAAGAAACACACTCAGTGCTGATGTGTTTTCTAGACGATTTGTAATGCTTCCAACTGCTGGCTTTAAGATAAGAAGCATCTCCCTCTCTTTGTCTGCCTCTCACCTACACACAGACATATACACAACTCTTTAAGATACTGGTCAATGTGTACAGGATGCAATAGCCACTAAATAAAGGTGATTGTTGTAGTGGTACATTGTGTAGTGTCATGAAAAGCTGCTGACAAGTGAGATGTCACGTTGACAGGCGGCAAATGGACTGTCTGGGCTGGAGAATTCAGTGTCACAGCAATGATCTGTACTGTTGTGCTGCTGAAAAGCTTTTTTCCTTTTATAGAGACAGTGTAAGAGACAGGAAGCTGCAGGAGATGAAGGAGACGTGAGACAGGACAGAGACTTCAAGGGTGAATTGATCCAAGGCCATCAGGGGCTGAAAAATATCTGAGCTTTATTTTTCAGTAAGTGAAGTCTGCAGCTTTCATACTGCAGTTGTCATTAAAACTTTTAGATTGTTGCCACAGCTGTTGCTGAGGGCCAGACAAACTTTAGTCCTTGAGGCATGCACCGATCCAACTCTTTCTCTCCTGATACAAATTCCAATACCTTGACTCAGAGTGCCAACTGCCAATCCGATACTGATTTAAGTTTCTGTTTACCGCACTCACCATTAAAATCTTTTTAATGTAAGGTAAGATAAAGCCAGGCATTGCTATGACACCAAAAGCAGAGTTGTGACTGTATGACTGTAACTGATACTGGAAAACATACAATTTTATATTGACAGGTCAGGTCCGATACGCAATCCACTTACCAAGGTCAGTATCTTTGCTCATAGTGACCAGTTTATCAGATCGGTGCATCCATAATTGTTATATTCACCTGAGTGGAAACACTGCGTAATTCAAGTGTTTGCCCACTCGGTGCTCCGCCTCTGGGATGCTTGAAATAGTTTACACTGACTGCTAGGAGTATGAAAAGTAAATATGAAAATTGCAAAATATGATGCGTATTGATAGATTGTTGATACATTTTTTTGGTCATTGTGGTCACTTCCAAAAAGAGCCCCCAGTCCAGGGCGGCATCATGGTGTAATAAATCCTTGAACACTTCATGTCTAAATTCATTGTGAGGGTTTCATGATAAGAATTAGTTTTAAATTATTTAAATGGACTGACTCCAAAAGGATGTTCATATTCAGTACAAGCCACTCAGACCTGTCGCCCCCAGCCATATATATATATATATATATGTATATATGTGGATATATCCATTCATTCCATTCAGATAAGCAAGGGCTTGTCATGAACCAGCTGGCAATTTTTGGCGGCTGTATCCGTAGACTGGAAGGTTACTTCATTAAAGACTCTGCACACCCACACAGGTGTTTTCACTTACACCGGCTGATTAAAGCTCTCAGGCTGGGGGCGCTGCGCTGAGGTCATCATTTCACCGCAGACAGCAGGAAAAGTACATTTGTAATTATTATTAAAGATGGCTCTGTTCCATCTAAGTATAGCCTATTCGTCAGCCATGTGAGCCACTGTGCACCGTGGCGCAGGTAAAGCTAAGTAGATTGCAGCTGTTTTCTTGCAATGACGTATCAAAATGTGTGCTGTGAAAAAGGCCTCTAAGAATGATAAAGGTGGAAGGTGTCCCACCTAAACAGGTGAAAGAAAAACCAACTCATCAAACACAGCCTGCACACACAGTCCTGAGAGGAGACTTTTTTTAAGTAAAGAAATAAGTGAAAACACCTGTGTGGGTGAGAAATAGGTGTGTATGGGGTTTAATGCTGCTGGCAGACATGAGCAATAACCCGGAGCTTGAAACACCTAAGTGTTGCAAAAAGTCTAGAGCAGTTCTTTCTCAAACTTTTTCTGGCATACCCCCCCCCTTCAGGAGCTGTAAAATGTCCCACACCCCCAATGTTTAGCAATCATTAACAATAAAAGGGGAACCAAAACGAAAATAAAGATTCAAGTTGAATTTTAGGTCAGAACAGGATCAGCAAATTTTGTTTATTTATTCCCCCCAAATACAATATTTGTTGCTATAAATTATATTCAATCAACTTCATCCACTCCACATTCCCCCCCCTGGTGACCCCCCCTGCAGTGGCTCTATGCCCCTCCAGTTTGAGAGCCACTGGTCAAGAGAATCCGGTCACACGTGTTATTACTGCACCATACTTACATAAAGACACCCCCCCATCATAATGAGGCACGAGCACTGTCCCCTCTTTAAATACCAGCTCAACTGCTGTACCGCAGTCTGACCGCTGGGTGTCGCTGTCCGACCGCACAGCCAACCACGCCGGAGCGGGGGGGGAGGAGACCTGACCATTGGGCTTTCAGCTTGGGTCAGGTGGAAAAGAACGGGTGATTGGTTTACGTTCCGCCGTACTCTCTCCTGATTGGACGGGGAAGGTGTGAGAAAGAAGAGGTTGAGAGCGGAGATCCACCAGCAGTCTGTCGGCTTCAGTCCCCGCTGACTCTGCCGGTGCAGCTCACACACTCACACACACACACACACACACAGACACACAGACACACACTGAGGGGTTGAGATGTGACTGTTAAATCGGAGGAATACAGCGTGTTTCTGTGGGATCTTTTCTTTTTCTGTCAGCCGGAGAATGGGAGAGGGCAGGCGGGGAGTCACTTTGGCCATGCCGGGCACTTGGGTTGCGGTGCTCCTGTGTGTGATTACTTCGGTGTGCGCAGTGGAAGGTAGGTGTGCAAAGAGGGGGCATTTTTCACTGTTCAGATGATGCAGGGTGAAGGCTTGGATTCATTTATGCACTAACTGTGGTT